TGAGGTCCATCAGCTCCTCCAACGTGATGCAATCCTGGAGCTCTATCTATAGCAGGAGGATGTGCAGAAGGGGAGGGTGCTCCAGCCTTGGTCGAGAAGACAGTTGAGGTAATGGTGGCTGCCATTCCACCAGCTAGGCCCAGGCCGAGACCCATAGCTAGGCCGCCTGTTTGGTTTGCTGTGATAGGAACTCGAGTTGCACGAATGGCATGCGGATGAGGTGAAAGCCCGGCAGCCATAGCAGCGACTGCAGCAGCATTTGCCGCTTCATTGGTGAGGCCAGGCCGGATTACTCTTCAAATTTCCAGCAGTATAATGCAAGATTAGCAAAAAAAGCAAGTAAAAAATAAATTAAGCAAAGCTGCTCAATTCTATGCAAATCCTTGTTAATCCATTCGGTAACAAATAAATGGGAAAACTATAATGAATAAGTGCATTGAAAGACTATATCTCTGAAGAAATAAAATGTTAATTATGCACGCTGTTAGTTTACAAATCAAATGCTGCATCAGTCTAATCCGTACAGTTTACAGCACAGGAGAGAAAAGTTTGTGGGTTTATCAATCAACAAGTTTGGGACATAATATAACGCTAGGTATTTAAACTATATGTATTCCAACAGGGATGCTTTGCTAAACATACTCATCTCCCTGCCATAATTGTCGTAATAATTTTTAGCATCGGATCGTTAAGTTGCAACATTTCCAGACGTTTAGCTGGCATCATCAGATAGAGGCGCCATCCTAAGCATAGAGTCAAAGTTATAAGTGAATACAACTTACAAATTTTTAATTCAACTGTTGTTCTTGAGTATAGTTTCATGTTCTCCCTTGTCCGTCTTTCATTTATTCTACCTATCTTCGTCAGACTATTCATCTTCATAGGCTCTTTGTGCCAAAATTTTAGAGATGCTTTCCATTCTCATTTCCCGTTACGTCCCTCTTGACAACCTTTCGAGACATTTATGACTTCCACTAATACGTCTTCAGTGACATTTATTCAGTTCTAAATGGCAAAATCGAATCAGTCCTC